GGTTAGAATAAGAGAGTCGAAAGGGGCTGTCACAAAATTTCCTCACAAGTTAAGACAAGTTGGAGTTCAGGGGGCTGGAAAGAAGATGAAGAACTGTGCAGGAAGGGATGGCCGTCCAACAGTGAGGATGTTATCAGACATAACTTCACCATGCTTTGCTCTGGGTGTTGTGGCTGGTTGTGAGGTTAATTGTTTTTCCAGGATGATCAGGGAGTAAGGCAGTAAGGAATGCTTTTTTACTCAGCCAAAAAAAGCTTTGTGAATAGGGAAATCACGTGTTATGTTCCTGGCGGAGTTTATTAATGACAAGCTAATGAAACAGAGCACTGCAGAGAATACTGGTGTACAGCTTTAAAAGGGCAGGCACAAAATGCATAAGCCAAGAGCATTGACTAATAGGGGCTGCAGCTTTATTAAAAAGCCTTTTGTAGCAAGGAGCCATCATCACCTGCCTTCCAATTCTGTCTCAGCCTGGATTTGAGTGGATGATGAACAGCATAAGGATGCAGCAGCAGTGTTGCAGAGTGAGACATTGTTTTGATTTACTTGTGAGTTCCTGCTGGTGGTAGGGCTGAAGCTGTCTCTCTCCTTTGTACCAGTGGGCAGGAGCAGCGAGATGAGGGAAGCCACGTGGAGCTGTACCACTTCATGTTGTATTTCCATGGTCTGGGCTGGAGTCCAAGGCAGCCCACTGAGTTACAGGGACCTCAGGCTGAACCCTTTCTAACACACCAAATGCTCTGGAAGCTGCCAAACTCTCAACAGCAGAGTTTAGACCCCTAAACCCAAAATGAAGTTTGCAGAAGCAACACAGACACTTTCGGGAGCCAGACGGAGAAAGCATGTTTCAGATGCCCAAACTAGCAATCAGCCAAGCCCACACCACCACAAAAAGCTCAGTTCACTGGATGAGTATGGAAAGACAGGACTGGAGAGATGGAAGGAAAAAACATAATCATTTGTTTCTCATCCAATTGATTTTATGAGCTGACAGAATGGCTGAAAGTACACCTTTGAATATCTCAGCCACAGCTTTATTATCTTCTCAATTAGAAAAACGTAGTTTCATTAAATAAAACTAACAATGCTGCTCATCGTCTAGGGAAATGAACAGTTAATTCTCAGTTAATATCATTAGTGGGAGATGCTAAGAAATAGTGTGCTGAAGATTCAGCCATCCCTTTCAGCTTCATTGCTACTCTTTATCCTGTAGTTCCTAATTCTGGAACAGTCATTGTCTTTGGGAAAAGTTTACTTATACCATGCATTTTCAGAAAATAATGATAAATTTCATGTTCAAAGTTTTGATTCAGATACAGATTAAACAGAATTTCAGCAATGTAGATAAAATCTGAGATCATGGAAAAACCTCTGTACCTCTCATAGGTCACTGGAAGAGAGTGTGAGTTGTTGGGGTAGATCTCTTTGTTCACCATCAGCAAAACAAAATATAACACTTTTCTACAATTTTTATCTTAAGCATGAGGTGTGCAAACCTGTTTTGGTAAGGATCCTGCTGTCATTTGTAATGTCAGCTGATATCAGTCACAGCCTGAATTTACCAAAAAAAGGCATTCTTAGAGAAGGGAGGTTATTGAAGGGCATACTGTTTTTCATCCTGTTTGAAGAAATTCATGAAGGGATTGTAAAGGTTTTGAGTTTAGATTCACTACTGAAGACTGAAATAATAATATTAACTGCATTACCATAGTTCACAGAGTCTGCATGGCCCCTCTAGCAGCTCTGCACAAGAAGAGAGTACATAAGGAAAGGCAAATGCAATAGAGAAAGAAGAAGAGCTGTTAAAAGGGAACATGATTTGTATGATAGTGTGAAGTTACATGATACTTCTTTTAATTCCCAAAATAGTTGGTGTAATTACTGTAGTAAAACAAAGGCCTGTTCCTGGCACAATCTAGAAAAATCTCTATGAATTGTGACCTGTGCTTTGTCTCAAAGATTATTAACTCTACCCATGGAGCATATAATACATGTAATGGGTTCAAACTGAAGGAGGGGAAGTTTAAGTTAGATATTAGAAAAAGGTTTTTTGCTATAAGGGTGGTGAGACATTGGAAAAGGTTGCTCAGGAATGTGGTGGCTGCCCTGACCCTGGCAGTGTTCAAGACCAGGCTGGATGAGGCCTTGAGCAACCTGATCTAGTGAGGAGGTGTCCCTGCCCATGGCAGAGGGATTGGGACTAGATGATCTGTAAGGTCCATTCCAACCCTTAAATTCTATGACTCTGTGATTCTGTGTGCTTCGTTTGGGGATAGACTGTTTTCAAGGTCAATGAGGGTCCCTTGTGTCCAGTCTCAGAAGTATCTTGGAAGTCAGAAGACTACTACTAGCAGTCTGATGTGCATACACTGGGTACATCAAGTCCCTGGTGCCCTCAGAGCACTTTAGGATGCTCTGAAGAGCTTCAGAAGACAGCAACAGCAGGCAATACATCCTTTAGGTCACAGAATAACAACTTGTGTGGCTGAGGCAGGCAGCATGGGGTCAACCTGAAATCTGCCTCTGGCTCCCAGGGGAAGCCTGGAAGTATGTCAACACACAGGACTTCCTCCATGCTGAATTATCTGCCATGTGGATGGAGCTGACAGTTCATATGGCTTGTAGATGACACTTGTCCAACCATGTGCACAAGGGGATCCCTCCTCTCTCTTGTATGCAAGTTAATCCTATTTAACCACCTTCTCTCAAAGATGCTATTTATCTCCCTTCTACCTACTCAAAGGCAGAAGATGCTGCCTTTGGCCTTAGAGGGATTTGGGGATAGCCTGGGTAGGGTGTCCCTCTCTGCCTTGCCTTTGCTCTGCTACTAGTCTGTTTAGTTCACCAGAACCATTATCTGCCCATTGCATATATATGAGACTTGTCAAGATTAGACAAATGAACTACTTGTGCTATGTATGTTTATTATTTTGTCTTTATGATGACACAGTGGGGGATCTCAGTACTGACAGTAGCCAGAGTAAGGTGTTTCAGAGGAAGTTACCAGGTGTCAGCACTGAGTGATTACAGAGATGTTTACCTTCTTGAGGAAGAGGTTTTTATAGCCTTGTTACTCATAGCTGGTTACATGCTTTGAACAGTAACCTGTTCTTCACTCAGTTCTTTTTTAGCAGGAGACTTCCCAGGGATTTTTTACTTTTATTATTTGTATTACAGCACGGCAGCAGGATCCAGGGGCCAGATGAATTGGGGTCTCTTTATTTCAAATTGATTTGTCTATGAATAGAGGAAGAGACTCACTGCTCCAGAGATGTTCTTGCTTTCAAATGCGTGGGAAATGTCAGATCCAAGAACCGATCTAAATCAGCTGAATAGATGGGATCTACTAGAACATCTCATCTTTCAGCACCCCAGGGATAATATCCACTTATGCTGTTATTATTGCAGCTTTTAATATTAGTGTTTCTGTTTTCCTTTAGCAATAGAGCTCCATTCTGTGTTGAAATTTGACTCTGACTCAAAACCAGAAGGGATTTCCATGAAAACAGTGAACATAGTTGATTATAAAAATCCCAAAGTGAGTTCATAGTTTGCTTGTTAGTTTATTTATGGTAGATGAATTAAAATATTTCAAGCTTAAATATTTCTGACTTAATGTTTTTAGATATTTAGTAAATACTATAATCTAGAGATAAGATAATGCATTTAGAGCTGCTTAGGTACTGTAAAAAGATTGTTTGTTACATCTGTATATGGAATAATTGCTTTCGGTCACGTAAGATATGAAGTAGTATGGTAAATGTTTTATATTGAGGTTGGCTTTCCAAACTTAAGCCATAACAGAGTGTGTGCCTGTAGAGAAGCTCTGCTGCAATGCAGTGCCATGGAGGTGCTTAGCTGAGGAGCTGAGAGCTGTGCTTTGTCTTGCTACCAGGTTATCGATGGGCATTTCCATCCTTGCTCTGCCTGTTGAAAATTACTTGAAAAAACATTTTAAAGGAGTAGTTATTAATGATGTAGTGTCAAGATGTATCAAATGAGATTCTCCAGGGACATATCTTTGGCCTAGCATTATTCAAAAATTCTATTAGCTTCTTTGATGATGGAAGTTAGGAAGAACTATAGAAATAGGAGATGGCACCAGTCTAGAATAAATTTAGACCAACCAGCTTTGAAAGAGTTGGTCTAAAACATAAAATTATTTTGTGAAGTCAGGAAAATTGTTCTTAATTAGTATGGAAAAATAATAATAACAATGGGGAAGGCTATCTAATGTGCTAGTTCAGAATAATAACTTGCTTTAACCATTGCTGCCTTTAAGAAGGCAGCCATACAAATGTGGGGCTCTATGGACCTCTAAGTTCATTATCAATAACCAGCCAGAATGCAGAAGTCAAACACTGAAGGACTGCGAGTAGCAGAAGGCATTGCCTTCTGAAAAGTGGTGTGGACAAAACTGCAAAGATCACTATAAAGAGCAGACAAGAGTACTAAGGCTTGTTGTTTTAAAGCTGATGTATGACAGAATGAAGAAGCAAGGTCTGCCTAGTCAAGAAGAACGTAGACAAGTAGGGGGAAATGACAGTCTTCAAGCATACAGAAAGTTGCTTGAGAAAGGTGGTAACCAATTTTTCTTCATGTCTCTGTGAAGATGACACAAGAGAGTAACACTCTTGTAGTTTAAAGTGAGATGCTGGGAAAAATTGTTCTGTCAATATAAATAGTTGTTACTGGTGAAGATATTAAAATTTTTGTCACTGGTGACTTTGTGTAGTGCAAAGAAACAGGGTGATTTTGTAAAGTCAATCCTGACACCTTCTAAGAAATGGGAGTAGAACATTTTTTTTAATATTCTGTTCAAACTGAACATATCTGTGCTTTCTAGCATTATTTGTACTTTAAAATTATGAGCTGATGCAAGAAAAGGAAACAAGTCCTGTGGCTTTCATGGCTGAGTTGTATGATGTGCATCAGCAATTGGGTGTGCAATTCATCTTTAACCACGTATATAACTGTGTCCCTTTGTCCTTCCTCAACAGTCTCCAAACGTCCACAACTACCCAGATATGGAAGCTGTACCCTTATTACTAAACAACATGAAGGCAGACCCTGTGGAGGATTCATTATCTACAGACCATTTCCAAACACAAACTGAACCAGTGGACTTGTCAATAAACAAAGCCAGGTCGTCCCCTACAGCAGCTTCATCTTCACCAGTTTCCATGACAGCATCAGCTTCCTCACCTTCTTCTACTTCTACTTCTTCTTCTTCTAGTCGACCAGCTTCATCACCCTCAGTAATAACATCGGTATCCTCAGCAGCATCTGTACCGTCAGTATTAACTCCAGGTCCTCTTGTGGCCTCTGCATCTGGTGTTGGAGGCCAGCAGTTTTTGCACATTATCCATCCAGTACCACCTTCAAGTCCCATGAACTTGCAGTCCAACAAAATGAGTCATGTGCACCGTATCCCTGTTGTGGTACAGTCAGTACCTGTTGTCTATACAGCTGTGAGATCACCTGGGAATATGAACAACACTATAGTAGTACCACTGTTGGAGGATGGGAGAAGTCATGTCAAAGGTAAGGTGGAACCAGTTTTGTGCATCTGTAACACCCCTAAATCTGCTCTTGTATGAGAAAAATGTAACCATGTTATAAAGCTATTAGTTTCCATACTTACTCTGTTGTTTGCAGAAAAGACACATAGCTTACACTATCAGGAGGAACCTTTAAAAGTCGTATCCTAGATGCTCTTTAAAATGAATAAGTATTTTAAAGACTGAGGTCAGCGGTGGTGTTAGATGCTCAGACAACTTGTGGCAAGTTTTGTCCTGAGCGAAAAAAACCCTCCCTAGAAGCTGAAGAAGTAGGACAATGGAATAGTGACAGTAGGGATAAAACATCTTAGATGAACATGGAAAACTCACCAGGTGTTTCAGATTCAGCATGGGGAGGAACATCAGAGAGATTGTTCCCCTGGAAGGAGAAAGCAATCATTGGGCTGTAGGAGTGTGCGAAGGAAAGGCTTTTGGAACAAATAGCGGTACCAGATACAGAGAAGTGGTTTTGTTATGGTTAAGGAGTGGCAGAGCAATACTTTGAATTAGGCTTCCTCTCCCAGCTTAAACAGCAGAAAGGAAGGAAACTACACAGAGTGTGTGTGTTGGGAATGAGTTTTGCAGACACAGGACATGAGAGGCACATGGAGGTGTGAAGGGAGGAAGAAGACGTGCCAGAAAAGACAGATACACTCATGAGGTGTCCAAAGAATGCAGAAAGGGGAGCTGGAAAGCAAGAAAAAGTGAGAACATAACAGTTACTAGGGAGCAAAAACTTCTTAGAGATGGTGACATGATGGGTGGAGGAAGAAAAGAGAAAACAGATGTGCCCAGCTACTTTGAAAAGCATAGCTTTATAGAGACAGCATTAGCGGCAGAGATGGGAGTGTGAGGGAAGGAATGAGAGACATTCATTTCAAGGCTCATTGCATGTGAGTGAATAAAATATGGTAATTCTCCCCTGAAATGAGTTGTTGCTTGAGGCAGAAAGGGAGGGTACTGACAGATAACCTTACTTTGGGGCTTATGAGACTGCAGGACATTTAGTAATACATCTTATAACATCTCTTGTGTACCTAATTGCATAATGAAAGGGTCTCTACAACTAAAAGGTCTTTTTCTCACCTCTCATGTCTGGTTTTGATACACTGGCAACTGTGTATTATTGTAGAGGAGTAAAGTGATGGGTCATTCTGATGTTTAGTGGCATTCTGTTATCTGTTAGTCTCTGATTCTCCTACTGTTCCCGCAGTGGCAACCCCAGTGGGGACTGTGCCCTCTCAATATGCTTGGATAGAGGAAATGAACTCACCGTTGATCTAGTTTATTACACTTCATACAGTGATGCAATTTTAGCTCTTTTTGTGCTGTTACATCAAGAAATTATGAATAAAAGCAGAACTTTTCACCATGTTGTCTGTGAAAAAAAAAGAAGGAAGATTTTAGTCTGTATTTTGAATTTGGAGCTTCAAGCTGCACCTAACCTTGAGCTCATCCAGAAATTTTCCCATTTGTTTTCTTTTCGGAGGTGCTAGTTGGCTCTGATAGTAGTCTCCTCTCTAGGAAACAACTCCAGATATTGTAAAACTGGAACGTTGCTACTCCAGTTTCATCAACAAAATTCCAGAATTTAATGTGCCATAGGGATTTCAGCCCATGAACTCTGTTTCTTCTGAGCTGCCCTGACAATATGGCCTTTGTGCATTAACCAGCCCTGCAGCACCTATTAATGTATAGTTGAAGAAAAAGAAGGGATTAACAGTTCTTTTTTTTTCTCATCAGTTGCACCCATTTTGCTATCACTAATTCCTTATATATATATATGTATATATATATGTATAAATGTTCAGGTTAATTTGCATGAATACAATAGAAGAATAATGAGCCACAATTCACTTGAGGTATTCATCTTTTGTCAGCTTTTGCTGGAGTGTGTTTTTCTTTCTTTCATGTGAAACAGTATAGATAATAAAATGCAATGATATCACACAAATTAAGCAATGAAAGAAATTTCATATGTGTGCACTCTGAATTCCTTTCAGTGGTCAGCCCTTGTGCTGAAAACAGGAAATAAATGTACACAGGTCCTAACAGAACATTGCTGTCAAATTGAATTAGTTGCTAATCCTCTACCAGCTGAAGGAGAATTGCATGTTTGGAGTCATCTAGAGTCACAACTTACACCTTCTACATGAACACTGATCATTTTCAGATACAAAGAAGTGTCACAGTCCATCCACAGTTAGCATCGGCAGCATTTATTGCATAACCTGTGTTGTTGCTGCTTTGGTGCTAATTCAGGGACCACATTGATGATCCAGGAGTGCCAGCTGGGAAGCATTTAAAGCGAAGTTTTACAGTAGCCTCTATCTAAGTCCTTCTCACTCAATTGACAGTTAGGCACTTTCCTGAACAGAGAGATTTTCAATGCTAAAATTGATGAAAATTACTTCAGCCTTAAGTTCAGACCTCTCCTGTTTTTCTGTGTTTCAGATACTAAGGGGAAACAATGCAAGAAACAGGATATAGAGGAAGTTTTTTTCCTTGTTACTCACAATTTTATTTTTCTCATGATGAATTTTCCAGGTTTGACTAGAACCATTTAATTTTTTGTTGTATTACAAAGCCTTGTCAGGCCAGCACCATCCCTCTAATCCTGCCTCCAGATGTTTTGCTCTGGTGGCTTTCTGCTTCCCCTGATGCTTCCCAGTCCTCCTTCCTCTCTCTCTCAGACAAAACTGTCTTCCTGGTGGGCGCTTTTCTAGGCAGTTCAAGCAAATACTTCTCTTTTAAGTTCTGTTTGAATCCTCTCTTCCCTCCAGCACAAGAAATTGCTACCTTGTCTTGTGTTTCCCCCTTCTTTTTCTATTTTTGTATTTTTTCTAGTCCTACCCACCTTGCTGACTGTTCTTTGAGTGCCACTTTCAGCAGCCCTGCTTCATCCTCCCCTTATCTGTTAATATTTCCAACTTATCCTGTCATCTCCTTCTCTTCAGCTGTGTATCCTTCTCCATGGTGTCATTCATCATGGTGTTCTTTGTCTCACCATCCTTCAGGAAAGTCTCAGATCTCCTTTTCTGCCTCCCAGTTTGCTGCTCACTTCTGCTGTCTGTCCTGCCTTCTCTCTGCTGTTTTTTTTACTTGCAAGGTTTCACATTGAATCAAGCCCTTTCTGTGGCATTGAAAACCAGATGGTTTTGAAGAGAATTTGCCCTTGTATATATGAGGTGCCAGCAGCATCCCATCAGGTCCTGTGCTACGTGCTGCAACTCCAAGGCAGGCAATGGGAGATGGGGCTATCATGCTGCTAAAGCACCCTTAGGTCAGAGGGATGCTTTTTCAGTGTAAAAACCTCATAGTTCACCTAGTGTAAATCAAAATCAGGATTGGAGCATTTTTAGGAAGCTATAAAAAACACCTAATTAGAAGGTATCAGTGGACAATATGTTCAGTATTGATTATACAAACTAGCTATTTACAAAATCTTTCTAAATACCTTTAAAGTTCCTAACACCATTCTGTAATCCCACAGCACTCATACAGGTGCACACAGGCACACACACACACAGAGTTACATGCAGACTCCCCTGCTGACCGTGTACCTTCCTCCCCTGTTGCACCCACTGGGGAGGAGACACTGCAGAGAGGTGCCCAAAGCAGGGGCTCTCTATGCTGCCCCATAGCACCTGCCCAGCTGTACAAATTGCCTCCTACAACCTACTACTGCCATTATTTCGTATGCACAAGGCATAGTAATGTGTTAGGGCTGTGGGGCATGGAGGGAAAAGGAGCCAGGCACAAGTCCCTGTGGGCACTGCGAGTCAGGGCTGTACCCTCTGCCGCCTCTTACAACATGGCAAAGAGACTTCTTCACTTCATTCAGTGGTCACTGCTCTTCTCAAGCACAGCCTTAAGAAGCACATGGAGATTTTTTTCTGTGTGGATTACGTTGTGGTGACTAGACATTATTGTACATTAAAGTATTCCATGAAAGAACATTAAAGTCCCATGAAGAACTTTCCTTATCTTTTTTTCTCCCTGTTCAGCAATGGTGAGGATTGCTAAAAGGTGTAATTAGGGGCACAGCAGGTAGCAGCACCTACAGATGAGATTGCCCAGTGGTTTCCCTTAAGCTCCTATGTTCAGTAGCTCGAAGTCTGTATGTTAAGCATTTAGACTAACATTTTCCATGCTGTAAGTCTACTGCAAGCTATTTATTTTTTCTTTTTTTTTTTTTATTTCCTTTTGGATGAAAGTTTCAAGAAAAAAACCCTATTCTACTCTTGCTGAGACCGAGCATAGATAAAAAAATGTAGCATTTTCTATGTTGAAAAGTGTATTCCAGCTTTTTTTTTTTGGTGAAAAACTCTAGAACCTCAGTGGTTTTGTGCCATGAACCTCAAGTTTGTTTTGGATCATTGTCCTTTGCTTTCAGAAGATATTCATGAATAGTACTGGCAAATCATGTCCCTCTAGCAGCAGGTTTAGCCAAATATAATATCTTTAAAAATTGTTTTCTGTAGCTCAGAAGAGTTTCTCCATTCATTGAAGAGCCTTTCAGAAGCTCCCTCCTGATGATGGTGCACCATGGACCTGTCCAACTTTGATTTTTCAGTGGCATTGGCTTCAGGTTTATGTAATTTCACTCTTAAGAGTTTTTAAGTTTTCTTAAGACATCAGCACTTGCAAAATGCAGTGGTCAGAACATTACATACTTAAATTTGCCAACTGAACTTTGTCTGCTTTCCATGTACATAAACAGCTGTAATGACATGGGCTTGAACTATTTTTATGTTATGTCTGTATAGACCTGGCAAAAATACACTGGCTGGGACTTTTCACAGTTTGCACATGCCATATTCTTCATGGTAGATATATTAATAAGTAGTAAATGCCATACCTTTTGCTGCAGATTTTTCTGTAACTTAAAACATGTAGCATCACTAGATTACATTATCTACTGCCCTTGTTGGTTTTTTAAAGTACAGCCTGTTATTTCTGCCTACTGTAAAGTTTATTCCA